AATGCTCTCCATCAGTTGCTCCAGTAGTTAAGGGAGACGTTTTTGGGTCATTCCAATGCCCAAAAACCGAGGTTGAGAAAGAACAAATGAAACTCATTCCTTATGCTTCCGTAGTTGGAAGCCTAATGTATGCTCAAGTTTGTACTCGTCCAGATATTGCATATGTATCTGATATGTTGGGAAGATATCAATATAACCCATGATTAGATCATTGGAAAGCCGCTAAGAATGTTCTGCGGTATCTTCAAGGGACTAAGGAGTACAAACTTCCATATCAGAGGTCTAATAATTTAGAAGTGGTGTGATATTCAGATTCTGACTTTGCTAAGTGCAAAGATGATAGGAAGTCCACTTCGGGATACATTTCTTGCTATCAGGTGGGCCAATATCTTGGAAAAGCCACAAGCAAAGACTTACGACTACTTCAACAATGATGGCCTAATATGTTGCGGTGTACAACGCAACGTGTCATGGAATGTTGTTCAGGAATCTTATCAAAGGGTTCAAAGTAGTGAATTCCGTCTCAAGACCACTAAGGATTTATTGTGACAATTCCGCGGCCGTGAGCTTCTCAAACAATAACAGTTCGAGTGGAGCGGGATTGTTCCTCGATACAAAATATTTGTTCGTTCGAGAAAGAGTGGAGGAAAATGAAATTTGTATCGTACACATCAGCACAAATGATATGCTAGCAGATCCTCTCACTAAAGGACTTTCGCCCAGTATTTTTCAAAGACATGTCACTAATATGGGTTTGATCAAAGATCCTGTTTAGGAAATTATAGCGCAGTGCCTAATTAATTATCTTATGTATTAATTTCAAGTACTTGATTTAGAATCCCTCCTTAACTATGTTTTGTCTATTCTTTATTGTGCACACAAAGTTATTTAATAGACAAACATAATACCCTAAATTTAATGTCATTTGGCTTATATTAATCCTTATACTCTTTAAGAAGTGTCAAAGTATGATTAATGGGGATCCCGGGTTATATTGACCCGTTAGACTGTATTTGTTTGCTTTGATATTATTATGGAGTAAGATGAATCTTTCTTGGCCAACACTTACTTTAGCTTATGTATAAATGATCTCAAGGTCAAGTGGGAGAATGTTGGAAAATATTCCATTTAAATACCCTTGGACCATTTATATAATTTAATATATATTGGGGACATTTATGTCTTACCATTAGGGGTGGACTCGGGCCGGGCCAACCGGCCCGGAACCGGACCGGCCCGCTACTGTGCGGGCCCGGCCCGGACCGGTGAACCGGTTCCAGGCCCGGTTCGGGCCAACCGGCCCGGTGGGATGGCGGTTCGGGCTCGGGCCCTTCAAAAGGTGAACCGGCCCGGCCGGTTCGCGCCCGGGCCGGGCCAATTTTATATATTTTTTTTGAATTTTTTTTAAGTTTTTGGGTTGGGCTGGGTATTTTGGGCCATTTGAGGTGGTTAGGGTTGGTTTGGGGGTGAGGGGGAGGGTTGGGGTTAACTAGGAAAAGCCAAAAAAAAAAAAATTAAACCGAGGCCCGGCCCAGCCCGGCCCGGCCCGGACCCGGGGGTTACCCGGGCCGGTTCCGGGCCTCCCCTTCTTGAACCGAGGCCCGGCCGGGCCCAAGCCCGAACCGGGCCCGAACCGGGCCCGAACCGGAACCGATCCACCCCTACTTACCATTAAGCTTGCCATATAACAGATTTGGTCCTTGTATTTATGTATAGTTAACATATGATGGGTATGTTTTAACATTAAATAATACATAATGGACCAAATGGGTTTCTCTTTGATACAAAATATAAAATGCATCTGCCCATTTAATTCGTACGACAAAACGAACGAACACGTTTATTCCTAAGGGTCTCAAGAACACCTATAATAAGAGACCCAAGGGAGAACTGTTCAATCCATCAAATCCATTTTGTATCCTTAGAGAATCTAAACGTCATGACTTCATCATCTTCTACGGCACCATCAACGTTCGATTTCTCCTCAACCGGTTAGTGTTCTTATTGTTTGATTTTATACATTTTATCATGTTTAGTGAGATTAGTTCCTGTTTGGGACTGAATTTCTCAACATCTAATATGATTTCATTGACCTCCATGCTCCTAATCAACTCTCAAATGTGTCTTGACTCGTCCCAATTACTTCTCAAACTTTCACCTAAAGTCTAAACCACTAAAATATTATCAGCTGAAAATCACTACAAACAAAATCCAACCCGTTTGATGACAGTTGCATTGGCTGGAATGGCTGAAGAGTTTGAAAAGACTTAATTTGCAGAAGTGAAAGTGTTTGGTAATATATTGGCTGAACTGGTTGATTGTGTGTAAAATTACTATAAAAGGTTTTAGCTTATTTGTGTTAAATATATGGGTGTGAATTTTAATAATAAACTACTTGTTGGTAGAAAATATGTTGAGTAGAAAATTCAGCAGCAATTCAGTACAGTAAAAGTGACTTCTCCAATACAAAAGGAGGGGCAGCCTATTTATAGGCGCTTACAAGAGGTTTGTCAAATGCTAATGGGCTTGGCCCAATTAAACAACTAAAACAAGAAGCCTGATACAAGGCCAATGGGCTGGTTGGCCCCAGAGTTAAACCAATCAATCCAAGGACCATATTATCTAGCCGGACCATGTGCTGGGCCTGGTTCGTGCCCGAGCCCAGACATATTGGGTCGATAGTATTGGACCTGGCCCATTATCCCAACACGAGTCCCCCACTCCCCTAGTCGAGTAGCAGACTCGGCTAGAAGGGAGTAGTCAAGTTGATCAACGATCGGTTCGTCTATCGGATCGGCTGGCTAGTCGCACCTCCATTGTAGCAGTCTGGGGTGCTCGTCAACGTAATCGTTGGCCCGTAGGGAGGCCATTCTTTGCGGGCCTTGATCGGCCCCTTTGCTTTGCTCCCTACTGCTTGCGAAAGGACGAGGGTCTGAAATAATTTGGGCCTGAAATTCCAAAATACGAGCCTTGTTTTTCTGTAGCCGTATATTGACCATGCGACGGATATACATGGGCTTTAGCCGCACACCCGACCAATAAAGAACCCCGCAGCCAGTGTTGGAATCTCGTCCAAGCCTTCGCGTTCTGTCACAGAAACCCCAGGCCAGCTTCCTAAAATAACCCGGAGCTATTCCAATTAATAATTTCCTTCCTTTTTTTTCTTTCCATATTCTTTTAATTTCCTTGAATCCGAGTTTGGCCTAGCCTTAACACCCTCGATCATCCACGCGCAATTCAGCCATGCAGGTCCCCTCAGCTTCAGCCGTTCCAGCCGCAGCCACGGCATCGCCGCGTCGCTCCATCCCCAGCCGGCGAAGGAAACGCAGCGGCTCCCCTTCTCCGTCGCGCCGGAGGGAGGGTCATTCACGACGTTGTTCGCCGTCGCGATCTCGTAGCCCAGGCGGTCGGAAAAAACCCAGCGATTCACGGTCATCATCGCCGCCAGTTCCAAGCCTACGCACAGGTTCTCAACACAGTTCACGACACGGAGCTCATCATAGTGCCCTCTCCACCCGTGAACGTCGTCCGTCTGTCAAACAGTCCCAGCAACCTCCAGTGGGTCAAATATCATCTGCGCGAGACCCCCCGGGCGAGGCGGACGCACTGCCACAGTCTGGGAACTTGGTTGCACGAGCCCATCGTGGCGAGGTGGGGAAAGAGTCCGTGCGTGGAGGCTCGGTTAAACAAATTCAAGCCAGCGGGGTGAATGCAACGTCTCAGCCTGAATTCAGGGCATCAGGGAAAAATCAAGGGGTCTCAGATAATTTTTCGATGCATGAAAAGGTCACCACCTCCTCGCGGTTGGACAGACCCGCTACGCGGATCATGATCGTTAAGGGACATCTCCGGCCTGCTCTGGGGGGGGGGGCACATGATCAGTCCGTGCCATCCTCCAACAACGTCACCCCTGTAGTGGACATTGCCTCACAGTCGGATAGCTCCCCCAAATCAAATGGCGAATCGGATAGCGTCGAAGATCCTAACGCTTGGAGGGAACGTTTGCGTTCCACCAGTACGGAGGCAGATTTGAAGTTGGCGAAAACTTTGGTCGATAGCAATTGCACCCTCATGTTGCCAGATCCCGAGAGTAGCCTCACTAGCCCTCCTCCAGATTCGTTCTTCGGGGTTCACATTGCATTTATCGTGCGGGGCATGCGGGTGCCTTTATGTCCATTCTTGGTGGCACTCCTTGCCCATATCGGGGCATCGCCGTGCCAGATGACCCCAACCGCACATATGTTTACGGCTGCTTTTGTCGCACGTTGTAGTGGCGTTGGTATCCGGCCATCCATACTGTTGTTCCGTGCATGCTTTAGGTGGAACCGCTCTAACAATAAGACAGATGACGGCGGGTTCGTGTCACTTTGCCAATTACCGCACCGCAAGCTCTTTGATCAGTATCCAGAGCCACCTAGGAAGTGGTCGAATAAATGGGTATGGGCATCCGCTCCCCGCTCGCTCCCCGTCACGTCCACCTGGGGTATTTCAATGCGCGAGTACAAGCCTGCCTCTCTCACCCCTGACCTTGAGGAGAAGGCCGAGGCCTTGCTCCAAGGGGGCCCTTTCCCGATTAATTCGTATATAGGTAAATCTTCTGTCCCAGCAGGTCACAGATACCATATGAGATCATCCCTTAATTTGCTAATATTTTCAGATGTGGCAGGCAACAGACACGAAGTTGCTGCCCCCAATGTGTCATTGGGGACCATGCTCCCACCTCCTGCGCAAGCTCTTTGATCAGTATCCAGAGCCACCTAGGAAGTGGTCGAATAAATGGGTATGGGAATCCGCTCCCCGCTCGCTCCCCGTCACGTCCACCTGGGGTATTTCAATGCGCGAGTACAAGCCTGCCTCTCTCACCCCTGACCTTGAGGAGAAGGCCGAGGCCTTGCTCCAAGGGGGCCCTTTCCCGATTAATTCGTATATAGGTAAATCTTCTGTCCCAGCAGGTCACAGATACCATATGAGATCATCCCTTAATTTGCTAATATTTTCAGATGTGGCAGGCAACAGACACGAAGTTGCTGCCCCCAATGTGTCATTGGGGACCATGCTCCCACCTCCTGCGCCTGGTGCGAATTTATGTCCGCCCAATCTTGGGGAGAAGCGCGGGGCCTCCCCGTTCCGTGAAGAGCAGGTTGCCATGGACGGAAAAGGTGTGAACTCCATTCTAATTCAAGAGGAGAAAGACCCAGCTGAAATAGCTCCACCACCCTCTTGTTTATTTTTATTATTTATTCCTTCTTCTTTTTAAGCAGGCCTAGTTACGGCGCAGAGTGTTGCCCCCCAGTCCGTGGTACCTGATGTAAGTAGGAGCGTGTCCGACGCCACCATGCCCGAGGTAGACGCCGGGGTGAAGAGCGGGCAGGGTGTTGCCCCCCAGTCCGTGGTACCCGTTGCAAGTAGAGGCATGCCCGACGCCACCATGCCCGAAGTAGACGTAGGGGTGAAGAGCGGGGTTCCCCCACGTCATGGGGAACAAGCCGGTAAGAAGAAGAAAGGTGTGAATCCTCCTCTTTGATTCGGGAGCGGAGAAATAGTTCAACCGGTACTAATCCATTTTTTTCTGTTTATTTCTTGCAGAGGTTGCTGGTATGCGGGGCAGGCTCGCTGCTCTGGCCGCAAAGGAGGACGCCAGGTTCCGGCCTTCGAGGACCGAAGTCATCCCCTTCATCGTGGAAAAACAACACGGGGCCCCTCCTGTTAACCAGCCAGCTCCTACCCTCAGTGCTTCATCGATTTTGGATATGGCGCGCTCTATCAAATCTTACAGCGCGGTATGCCGTAATTTGACGTTTCACTCTTCCTTTTTTATTATTATCGTCACTATAATCCTCACTAATTCTACGTCTCCTGCAGGGGCTAATGGACACAGCCGTCGCGCTTCAAACAATAGGTCGTCGTCGCGATGAGCTCCAGCACCAGGCTGACGAGGCTCACCGTCACTCGGTTGCCGTTCAGCGTCGGGCGGACGAAGCAACAGCTGCTCTGTCCGAGCTCCAGTCAAAATATGACTTCCTACAATCGAAGTATGATCGACTGCAAGCATCGTTCACGGATGCGGGGCGTCAGGAAGTTGCGGCATTTCAAACATCCCCGAAATTTTCAAAAATCATCACTTCGAAGCTGGAGGCTCACCGCTCAGAGCAGGTCCAAGCATGGTTGAAAACCGAGGAGGGTCAACTTTGGCGGGATAAGGAAATTCTCATGTCCTTCAGGTGTGGCCGATACGACATGCAGACCACGTTGTACAATAGGCTGGCAGAGTTCTATCCCGACTTCGATCCTGAAAAAATTGGTTTGCCCGAAATCATGCCAGATCCTGACGGGGCCAACGAGCAAGCGAACGATTTGTCCCTTTTGCACTTGGATATTCCAGATGACTTGGAAGATGCCGTTCATGGCTTTGATTTTGAGACTATCCTCAATGGTGTTCCTGAGAACATGCCTGATCCTTAGATCGTAGATATGAATCTCTTATATTGTCGTCTTTATTCTCATTTTTGTTGGACATTCCACTTTACATTCCGCACTTGTGTTTTTTTTTATTCTCACACTTAGCCATATAAGCTTTCCTCTTTGCGCAACTTTGCACCTGTGTCATGGTTCATCTTTTCTATTCATTTAACCATTTTTTATTCGAGACCACTTGGGGAACTAGTCGGGAATCTGGCTCCCCACCTAAACCACGAGGGGCGGAAGGTCGGCTGGGCCAACCTTGACCGCGCCCCGCTTGGTAAGGCGAGGCTGACCCGCACACCATCGGTCTAGGACCAACTGGTGAGCAAGCTGTTTGGCCGTGGTCAGACGACGAATGTGCGAGAAGGGGTCGGAGCACGACTCCCCGCATACCTCCGGCCCGGAGGCCGGTCTTGCACCTTGACTTGTACAACTGGTTTCATACTTAGGAAAATCTGATTTCCTTTTCTGAGAGTCGAACGGAAGTCAACCAAACATAAGGGCAAGGCCCTCAAGGTCAGACCAGAACGGACCCGCACCATTGATCATAGTAAACGAGTACACATGCTATTAAGCCTAGCAACGTCAGACAACGGACTTGCGAGAAGGACTCGGAGTATGACTTCTCGCATATCTTCGGCCCAGGGCCGGTCATATAGTTGGTGTACTGTCGATTAGATCAAATGAGTGGACGGGCTGTTTAGACAGCAACGTCGGACAACGGATGTACGAGAGCGGCTCGGGGCGCGACCTCTCGCATACCTTTTCGACCCGGGGGTCGGTCTAACGGTCGCCCTGACCGAGTAGCTAGTCCCGGACTTGGAAAATAGTTCGATCATTTCCTTTTCCGAGGATCTAGCAGTGATGGACTAAACACCGAGAGCAGGGCGTGATTTTTTTGTTTTTTGTTTTTGTCTTTTTTTTTTGCCCCTGCCCGTTCATTCCCAAGTGAGGTCGGACCTCAGTCAATTCAATAATAAATAGAGAACAACAAACGAACTTTTATTAAAGCAACCGTATTAAAGCAATGGAAGGATTAATCATTAAACATCACTACTGATAGAACTTAAGTAAATGTTCCGCGTTCCATGCACGTTCAATGAGTTTCCCCTTCGTAGTCTTCAATTTGTAAGTCCCTGGTCCAATCACGCCTTCGACGACATAGGGGCCTTCCCACTTGATGGAAAGCTTCCCCCCTTCCGTGGGTTTGCTTGCCTTCCTCCGCCTTAGCACGTAATCTCCCACGTCAAAGCTCCGTGGCACGACCCTGCTATCTTGGTACGCCTTCACTTGCCTACGGTAATTCTCAGCCCTAATGAATGCCCGGTCTCTTCTTTCTTCTATGAGGTGGAGTTCAGCTCTGAGCCTCTCCTCGTTGCTGGTTGGCTCGAATTCTTCCACCCGACGACTGGGAATCACCGCCTCAAACGGGGCCCTTGCCTCAAAGCCATAACATAGAGCGAAAGGGGTTTCGCCTGTCGCCTTCCAGGGGGTAGTTCAGAATGTCCACAACACGTTACTCAGCTCTTCAACCCACACTGTCCCGAGAGCTTCCAATTTCTTTTGGAGGCCATCTACAATCGTGCGATTGGTATTCTCCACTTGCCCGTTCGCTTGGGGATAGCAAACGGACACCCGACTTGACTCCACGCCCCATTCGACGCAGAATTGCTTGAATGGCTCGCAATCGAACTGCCTTCCATTATCGGAAATAATTTGCAAAGGAACTCCAAATCGACAAAAGATATTCTTCCATATAAACGTCTTGCATTGCAGATGTGTTATGCTAGCGAGCGGCTCTGCTTCCACCCATTTCGTGAAGTAATCCACGGCCACGATGACAAACCTTCTATTTCCGGACCCATTTGGTAAGGGACCAACCAAATCTATACCCCATCGAGTGAATGGTAGAGCAGTGCTAACAGGCGTGTACATCGTTGCCGGCCTTCCGGGGCTCTTCTGAAACTTTTGGCATGTGTTGCACCTCCTTGCGTAATCGACACAATCCTTCATAATTGTGGGCCAGAAATACCCTTGGAGGACAACTTTCCTGGCCAAGGTGCATGCACCTTGATGGGCCGAACAAACACCGCCATGGAGCTCCGCGACAATCATCTCGGCTTCGTGTGGTCGTAGACACTTCAACAATGCTCCGTTGTAAGACCGTTTATACAGCTTACCGTCCAGGACGACATAGCTCGGGGCCCGTCGCTGGACGAGCTTCGCTTCCTGTTCCTTTTCGGGCAAGGTCCCGTCAGCTATGTAACGTAACAAATCGTCCACCCAACTCCAATTTACTTCTTGTAGAGGAAGGACGGTTACCGAAGGGGAAGCTGCTAGGCTTGAAGTTATCATTTCTTCAACCAGTGCAATCTTGGATATGTGTTCAGGTACTCCTTGGGACAGACGTGATAAGAGGTCGGCATCCACGTTCTGGCTCCGCGGCACACAAACCAGCTCAGCTCGCCTAAACAATCCGAGTAATTCCCGAACAGCATCCCTGTACTTCGCCATCCTTTCTTCCTTTGCCTCGAAATCGCCCTTCACCTGGGATATGACTAATCGAGAATCACACTTCACCGTTATGCATTCCGCTCGCATGGCCGCAACTATCCGTAGCCCCGACAACAGGGCTTCATACTCAACTTCATTATTGGACACTTTGAACAGGTACCGGTAAGCGTAGTACGCTCGAAACCCTTCAGGCGAGATCAAGACGATCCCGCCCCCGCAACCTTTCGTCCCGGATGATCCATCGGTCGCTAAAGAGGTTTTCTCCGCATCATCTTCATGCATGGATATCTGATGATACCCCCGGAATGCGTCCATGAAGCTAAGGAGTTCGCACCCGACTGTCCCGTCAACTAGCTGGTCTATGTTAGGTAAATGGAAGGGGTCCATCGGGCATGCTCTGTTAAGGTCTGTGTAATCGACGCACATTCTCCAAGTCGGGGGCTTCGGTGCCAGGACCACGTTTGCCAACCATTCTGGGTATAATACTTCCTTGATGTGTTTAATAGCCAAGAGCATAGCCACCTCCTTCTTCACGAAATCCCTTCGTTCCACCGAGAGGTGTCTTCTCTTCTGCTGGATCGGCTTCACCGTCGGGTCGACCGCTAGCCTGTGAACGGCCACACTCCGGTCCAACCCCGGCATATCCTCAGGGCCCCATGCGAAGATCACACTGAATGTGACCAACACTTGGATGATCTTCTCTCTCATCCCGGCTGGGAGCCCCAACCCGATTTTGATCTTTCGCTCCGGGTGCCCGGGATCGATATGAACTTCTTCAACCTCGGAGGTGGGTTCAGCGCGGAGCTGGCCATCCTCATACTTCATGGCTTTGCTGTTGATAGTGTGGACCCTGAGGTCCTTTTGTCCGAGTTGTTTGCACGCCTTCATGTAACAACTCCGGGCCATCCTTTGATCTCCCCGAGCTATCCCGACCCCGTTCGGGGTGGGGAACTTCATACATAAATGCTCCTGAGAGATAATGCATCTCAAGTCCTCCAACGCGGGTCTTCCCATGATGATTTTGTGCGGACAGGTTAAACGTACGACAATGAACTCAAGGTTCAACTTTGCTACACAGGGTTCCGAACCCACTATCACGGGCAACACCACACTGCCTTCTGATTCGATTGAGTCCCCGGTAAATCCGGATAAAGGTGTTCTTACCCGACTCAGATCTGCCCCGCTCAGACCAAGGCCTTGGAATGTGTCATAATACATTACGTTCACCGAGCTTCCATTGTCTACTAGAACTCGATGAATGATTGTATCGTTGATCTCCACCTTAATCATTAAGGCGTCCCTATGCGGTGGTGGCATGGGTGGTAGGTCATCATCAGTGAAGTAGATCGGATCTCTTCTCATCTTCTTTTCTGCAGGTACCCGGGTAATTTCCCCGACGTACAAGGATCGAGCCCATCGTTTCCTTTCGCCTGACGTGTCCCCTCCTTGGGGGCCGCCCACGATGTAGGAGCATCTGTGATGCTTCCGGGCTCCCTCCCCTAGGTCACACTCGTCATCCTCGGACAGAGCTCCGAGCTCGCGCTTCTTTGGAGGTTGGTCAAGGGGCTGTTTCTCCTTGGACGTGGTGGCTTGATCGGAATGCCTCCATGTCAGGTTCCTCCCTTTCTGGGCATTTCCCGGTTTTCCTACAAATTGGCCCAAATATCCTTGTTTGATAAGTGCCTCAATTTGTCTGCGGAGAACGATGCATTCATCCGTATCATGCCCGAAATTCCGGTGAAACCTGCAGTACTGGTCGGTATTGCGTTTGGCAGTGACCACGTCACATTCCTCTGGGAAGGAAACCAAACCCTGCTCCTCTGCATAGTCGAGGACCGTCCCGACCGGTTGAGCCAAAGGTGTCAGAAGTTTGGTAGGTAGGAGCGGACCGTTCGGGACGTCCGTCCTTCCTTTGTTCTTATTCTTCTTACCTTTGAACCGGCCGCCCTTTCCACCAGACTTCCTATCGGCGTCTTCATCATCTGGGTCACCACGTCTTCCCTTGTCCTTCGTGTCTTCTTTCTTTCCATCCTCTTCATCTCTTTTTCTCTGTTCAGCGTCCTCTGCCTCAGCCTGACGGTCAGCCCGCCTCAGGGCTTCCTCGTATAAAGCGGGTGGGTTCCTAACAAAATCCTTGTAAAGTTCTCCCGATCGGATAGAACTTGTCAGCATTGACACTCCGGTCCTGTCGTCAAGGCCCTGAACCTTGACCGACTCGACCCTCCATCTTGCCAGGAAAGTGGACAGGGCCTCTTTCTTTCCTTGCTTCAGGCTAAACAGGTGGCTGAAATTCTTCTTCACATCTCGTGAGCCGGCGAATCTCAAGAGGAAGTGCCTAGCCAACTCCCTGAAGTTCCCGATGCTCCCATCGGGCAGTGTGTCATACCATTCACGAGCCGGGCCATCTAGAGTAGTCGCGAATCCTCTGCATCGTATGGCATCTTCGTACCCCATCATGACCATATATGACAGGTAACGTGACATGTGGTGTTGCGGGTCTGAAGTGCCCTTGTAAGTATCCATATTGCAAGGTTTGTAGCCCCTTGGCAACGGAGCCTCCATTATGGCACGAGTGAAGGGCTCGGGGATATGGAGGTCGGCCACGTATGACTCTCCCCCAACAACCCTCCTCCTTAGCTCGTCCAACCTCAGTCTGAGATCCTCCACAGCTTCCGGCGCCGGTTCCTCTGGCACGCGCTCAGCACGGGGCTGGGCCCGCACATAGGATTCTGCGACTCTTTCACGCGCGTGAGGCTGACGGCCACCACGGGGGCCTTCTATGGAACCGGTTCGACCGCTCAGACGACGGGGGTGATGAGAGAAGTCATCCCCGCCCTCCAGTGACAAGTCTCGGTGGGGCCCTCCTCTTTCGGGTCGTCGAGGCTGCTCGACCCGTCGGGGCATATGCTCCCTCCGGGGCAAGGATTCCCTTCGTGATTCGTCCAAACTAGTATGTCGCCCTTCATATCTCCCAGAGGAAGTCTCGATGTCTTCAGGGGCGGCGTGCCTCGGAGTTTCATGATTAGCTCTCTGCGGCATCATCCCCAGGAAATTCTGAGCCAAAGCCCCAATGGCACGCGTGGCTCCTGTAGCGCCCGCACTCCAGCGTCAAGTCGGTTCGTGCGCGGAGCCCGACGACGGCGACCTCCAATCCGATCACGAATGGATTGTCTGTCATGACTACGACTCAGCGAACCCCTCAGCTCCCCTAAGCCTGACAAATGGTTCCGGAGATCTCCTATCGATCTCACCACCTGGCTTCTCACACGATGGCCATTGGGTTGTTCTGAATGCTCGGTGTGAACGGAAACTCGCTCTTGCCTTGATGATCCTGCCATTTTCCTCCTCAAAGATTCTACCGAAAACTGAGAGAACAACTCAGCTCTCAATGAAAGCACCAATGTTGGTAGAAAATATGTTGAGTAGAAAATTCGGCAGCAATTCAGTACAGTAAAAGTGACTTCTCCAATACAAAAGGAGGGGCGGCCTATTTATAGGCGCTTACAAGAGGTTTGTCAAATGCTAATGGGTTTGGCCCAATTAAACAACTAAAACAAGAAGCCCGATACAAGGCCAATGGTCTGGTCGGCCCCAGAGTTAAACCAATCAATCCAAGGACCATATTATCTAGCCGGACCGTGTGCTGGGCCTGGTTCGCGCCCGAGCCCAGACATATTGGGTCGATAGTATTGGACCTGGCCCATTATCCCAACACTACTTTTGCTTGATTAGCTAATTATAAGCCTATTTAAATAATTGATTACTTTGGAAATTTCATTCTTACTCTTACGTCGATTTTTTTATACAACTACTCTAAAAAAATGCGTATTTTTGTGTGACTAATATGAGTAAATTAATTTAATAAGTATACTTTTTCTAAAGTATATTAACAAATGGAATGCATTTAATTTAAAATAAAAATGAAACATAAAGTACACATAAATATTAATTAGAGTTCGTTACATGTTTGAAAAAAATATTAAACAAAGAAAATACATAATAGAGCACATGCAATTGTCATACACTATCAACGACGTTGCCTCATATTACGTGACAAATTTTCTGTTATTTCATCCCGTAATGCAATCGTACGTTGAGAACTTGCACCACGAACCTCATTTGAAGACCTTTCGGTGGGTTCTTGTGTTGGTGGAGTAATGCGATCTTCCGGAACGAAATCAAGGTTTGTCTCAAAACAAAGAAAAGCAGGATCATTAGAATATCGTCGGATGAAGTTATGTAGTGACATGGTAAATTACGGACAGAAAGAAGATACAACACTCAAATGAAGAAAGAAAAAACAACACTCAAATGAAGAAGCGGCCAACTACGAGATCGTTTTAGTTTTTTGTTGCAATGCTACCATTAGCACATAAAACACACTTCCTTTTCAACATTACACTTCATAATCTACAAAATAAAACAAATATACATGTATTAAACATATTGGAGAAACTGTGAAAACACAACTGAACTTAAAAGTCCTCTCTTCTTTCTGAGATTACTCGAAAACTAACTACACTGGACAACCGGACAAGTGCTTCAACCTTCTCTGAGTATGATGGAACTGGTATCTATATGACTATATCCCTCCACTCCAACATATCTTTTATATTCTTGTATTTGTTTCGTATTGAGCATGGCTTTTTGGTGACAGACATACAATAACAGTATTACCCTTATCATACTGCATGCCATTTGATGGTTCAGAAAAGTTCAAACGGACTTGCTCACCCCAACCCATTTCATGCATCTGATTTGTGCAGTAAAACATCTCTTTTTTGTTTCCCAGTTGTGTGAACTTATGTTAGCAATTCGGTGCATGTGTGAACTTATGTTAGCAATTCGGTGCCACTGAGGTTAAGTATCAAAATACCATCCAGAAAGAAAACAATAATGGTTCAAGTGAGAAGTCAAGACACAATCCAGAATGTTTTATGCAAGAAAGCTGCTAGAAGATGTTTTACAACCTGGTGAATGACGACAAGACATTCGCTAGAAAATTCATACTTGCAGACAACATGATGAAAACAGCTACTTCTCAAGTGTAACACTGGTTTTCGTCTGTTGGTTAACTTTTTTACATTTCAGCAAGGTACATCTACCATGAAAGACCAAACTATTGGCAAGTGATACTATATTTATGACCGTTAACTAGTAACTTGACAAGTAGGAGCAAAGGGTTGGAAGTTTTGTTTAGCAACTTGACAAGTTTAGATAATTAGTTGTCAAGTAGTAACTACTAACTAGTAAGTAGTATTACTCCAGTTTGTGTGGCATGATTTTAAATAAAATAAAAAGAGACATATACCGAGATACATGAGCAGGAAACATAGGATATATACCACAAGCCAAAGTGAATATACTCAAAATCTTGATACATAAAGGAAGCCCAAAGTTACTAATATTTTTCAGTCTGGAATGATAAGAATAAATAACATCACACGAGTTGGTTTAAAGATAATATTTAGCAAAGATTAGGAATGCACCCATCGATCGAATGCAAAAGCTTTACTATGGAGAATTCAATTCATAAAAGTGGATATATATACTGTTTCCAGATTTAGGGGCCTAGCTATCACCATGTCCTCATGTACCCATCCCAAATCAGTCTCTAATAAACAGAGACTGAATATAGAGAAGCGTTCAAGAGGTTTTCAATCTGGAATGATTTTAAATTAAAAAAAGAGAGACACATGCAGAGATACATGAATATGAAGATGCAGCGCACCTTAGCTTTAATTTAGATGAATATAGAGAAGCGTTGAAGAGGTCTTCAATCTGGAGTGCCGAAACTATGGAGCAGCCGAGCCCAAAGTCATGGATGTGGAAGATAAACCTATGTCGCAGCTACTGGAGGTGCTTCAGTCGTCGTCGTCGTAGATCCGGAAGAAAGGAAGCAACAATTAGGCGTAAAATAAAGGGTAGAAACGTATTTATGATTTCCAACGGTATTAAATATTTTGCAGCTCAAAAAGTAGCCCTGGGGTTGCTTTTTCGGGTGATAAGATAATTCAGCCCAAAAGCCTTGTGTTTGGCTGTATTATTTTCAGGCTTATAAGCCCATTTTTGGGGTTCCAAACACCCTCTCAACTTGCTTAAGTAGGCTAATTAGGCCATCTCCAACAGTCTACACCATTTTTTACACTAAAATAGTGTAAACATCACATCATACAGTATTTTACATCCAACAATTTACACCAAAAAGGAATATTCTCTTTTTAATCTTTTACTAACTTTTTACCATTCTTCTGTTTAAGTATGTAATTATCATATATTTATACATTAGCCCCTCATTTCATATTTTGACATTTCACACATTATTTCACACATACAAACTAAAATACACCATTTTAATATGCATTTTCACGCATTTAACTAATTAAAATACAATAATCAATATTTCGCAAATACAAGCTAAACCACATAAAATTAATATTACAATAATATTATAATAATTTGTACGTCATTTCTAAATTTTACAAAAAAAATAATAATTGGGAATCAGCTGCATTTGGGAATCAATTTGATGGTCTTGGAGGGTCAGGAAGCGGGTTGAATGACTACTAATTTCTAAATTAGCATGTACTATATATGTTTTTAATTATGTTTTAATTTTAATTATAATGGTGTTATTAATTGCAATTTTAATCATGTAATTTTCTTAAGTATCATTTGTATTCTGTTATTATGTTGTTTGGATTTGAAACTCTATTTATAATATTGTGTGATTTAAATTTAATTATATTTTTTTATTTTCTATCAAATTAATAATTTTAATTACTTGTTCTATACGGAGGTTTTTAGTTGGATTGCGATTTGTTCCAGATTAGATCAGACCGGATTGACCAAACTTGAGTAGTTATAAAAATATAAAGAAATCAGACCTGACCACATCAGTTCAGATCAAATCAAATCATACCAGCCTAGAGCAGACCAGCAATTTCAGTCCAAGTAAAAACATCCTAATTTGTTGTTTTAAAAATGGGTCAAAACTATAACAATCAAAACTTTGGGTCACTTTTGAAATAAAAAAAAATTAAAACAAAAAATGGTGGAACATTTGGTGTGCGCCATATTTGGTGTGAACTCTCCCCCTCTCCCCCATTTTGGTGTAATGGTGTTGAAAATGGAGTGGTTGTTGGAGCAATTTTTTGGGAAATACACCATTTTGGTGTGATAAATGGTGCTTGTTGGAGTTGGTCTTAATTCATCCGGTAAAGAGTAAATTTCTTGGGAAGCCGGATGACAATTAATGCAGGCAGAAAATTGATGAACTGTCTTTTCCACTTCAATCCAACTTGATCCTGGAAACTCCTTTTCAACACCAGATGCCTTCAAATCCGCTCTGATCCTTGACACTTCACGCCATGTATTTGCTTCAGCATACATACCAAGTAGAAGGGCGTAATTTCCAGTACTGTTTGGTTCCAAGATGGTCAAATTGTCAAGGGCAATTCTGGCAATGTCAGAGTTCTTATGGGTCCTGCAACCACCCAGTAAAGCACCCCAAATAACAGCATTAGGTTCCATTGGCATTCTCTTTATTACTTCGAAGGCCTCTTCTAACAAACCAGACGTCCAGACTTACATAAAAGATCCACCATGCAACCACAGTGTTCCACTTTTGGAAGAATTTTATATTCAAAGGTCATGTCAAAGAACCGCCTTCGACCCTCTTAAACCAATCCAGCGTGACAACAAGCTGAAAGAACACTTACAAATGTAACACCATTTGGCCTTATGTTTTCTTTCTCCATCCTATCAAACATAGCCATGAACTGCAAGCCCATCAATCACAGAGTTCCAACAGAAAAGATTCTTTTCCTTCAGCTTCAAGAAGACCACTAGTGACCTCTCCAAGCTCCCACACTTTGCATACATGTCTTCTAAAGCAGACCCGATATAAGAGTCAAGATCAAACCCATTTTGGGTGATATATAGATGCATTTCCCTGCCATAATCCAGGAATCCAATATGGGCACAAGCTGAAACGATAGTTGTCATGGTCACTTCATCCGGTTTAATCCCTTGTTTGTTCATATCCTCAAAAAGTTCTAAAGATTTCATATGCATCTTGTTATGACTATATCACTTGATCATTGTAGTCCATGCGATCAAATTCTTCTCCGGCCTCTTATTCAACAACAGTTCAGCAGATTCCACATCACCAACACTAGCATAGCCGTGAATCATGGTGTTCGAAGAAGCAGTATTTTTCTCAGGCATTTTATCATACACCTCCCTGGCGGAACTCATATCCCCCTCAGGCAAAAGGGCTGAAACCATTGCACTCCACAAAACACTATCTTTCCCTCTTTCAGGAATTCCATCAAACAGTAACCTGGATTCAGACACCTTGCCAAGATTTGAATAGAAATCCACCAAACATGTCAAGACATGAACATGTGATTCGAACCCATGTTTGCAAACCTGTCCGTGAACAGATTCTCCCACCTCTGAAGCACAGAGTAAAGTACAACTTTTAACGATCGAGGAAAACGCGTAGCTGTTTGGGCTAAACCGGGCCTCCAACATTTCAGCATACAATTTTAAAGCTCTGAGCGGTCGGTTGGAAATTGGAATGGACAAATGACCGCATCAATGCCCCGTAAGCAAACAAGGCAGGAATTTTAAAGTTCTGAGTTATTTTATTAACTTCTTCTCTTGAATATTAATTATTAGTTCTTTCCTTAATATTATCTCTATATTAATGTTGGGGAGTGTTACTAAGATGACAATTAGTTAACATCTTGACATTAGTTAGAGTAGTATTTTCTTCCTCTATATTAATGTTGGGGAGTGTTGCTAAGATGACAATTAGTTAACATCTTGATATTAATTATAGTAGGATTCATCACCTTTAATAATATTCTTCCTTGAATATAAATTAATTCCTATTCATATTTCATATTAATATTTTGAAACATTATTTAAAGGATCAACTAGTTTTGTTTCATATATTAATTATTACTAGAAACGATCGATGAATCGATGGTTAATCGTTGATGGTTTCACAAGTAAGTAACTTCGTTTTATTAATGCACGATCGTGGTTGATAAACTTAAGAGGGATTAATTTTGTTGGTTACACAAAAACTGTTGTGTTGAGGTTATCAATCTCAATTGATTTCATCAAGGAGTTAAGAGATTAAATGCTACTATCAAGTCGGTATATGACGGTGTTCTCTACTTGACTAATAATAAGGGTTATTAGTGAACGGTCATTGTTGATAACTACCTCGATGAATTGGATATACTCATCGATTTAGTATTCGAGAGGGAATAAGTTATAGATATAACAATGATCGACTAAAATATATCAACAAGTGGAAAGTAGCAATGCCAAGTTCTTTTATCTTTGAATTAAAACACATATAGGTTGTTCATCTTAGTTTTAAATTAAATCATTCAATCCCAAAACCCCCCTTTTATTTACTAGTTTCATAAAAAGAGAATTATTCATTTCCCTGTGGATACGAACTCTACTTCACCGATACTACGTATTAGTGATAGTATTGAATTTATTTTGATGCAGCGTGACAAAGTGCTGGTCAAGTCATTGCCTTTCCCATCTACTACTGTTCACATACTTCAATATGAGGGTGGGTGGGTGCTGATCTCCAAATTTATCCCACCTACATCCAATATCCATTTGTGAAGAACATGATTCTATCATTCAATTAAAAATTCTAACTTAATGCAATCAAATCAGTTTTCTACACGGCATTGAGTACATGCGTCCAAGGTTTCTCATTTAGATTTTATTTTTTGTGTATAATTTCATAAAAAAATGGTGATGGCGACTCATAAGTCCGTACAACACGTATTTGATGTGTGTCGGGATCGGCTTTTGATGTTTTTTCTAACTTTTAAGTGTCATGAGTCTCATTTTTAGCTCAAATTATGTTTACCGGGCATTGGTTCGAGTTTTGTGTTATTTGGAGTAAAAATCAGGAATTAGATTCTGGCACTGACACTTGAGAAGCAATGTGATGAGTTGATGATGCATTTGATAGAGAATTGAGAGCTTTGGAGGTCACTGGGAGGTTCACAATGAAGTTTTGACGACAAGAGAGCTCTATGAGTGGCTACGGGATCAAATGAAGAGGAATAAAGCTTGAAAACGATGTTCAGGGTGACCTTCTGTCAATCATTCAAGCATATCTTTTTGTAGAAACATACAAAGGAAACTTCAAGTTCTACAAATCATACAAGTTCCTTGTGAAAGAAAACTTCAAGTTCTACAAATCATATGAAGACACCATTGCGAGAATCCGAGAGGAGAAAGGTGAAAACAAATGAAGAAGTCAGATAATCGCTGTTGCGATTTCAGAATGCAACCTTCCACCATTGTTTTCATATCCTTTGATGGGATGATCCAAATCCAGTTTTGCAAGTTGTTGTGGATAGATGACTTCATTATCTACAACTTTCATGAAGGAAGCATTGTCAAATTCGGAGAGGAAACAACGCTGGAGCTACTTCCAGTCACGCACACCGTGCTTGCCCGGGAGGCACGCCGTGCCTTACCCGGGACGCGCGTTTTTGCTCCGCAGGCACGGTCGTGCCTGGCGTCGTGCCTGACTCTGGGTCTCCTATTCCAGCTCGAATTTTACCCCTTTTTTCCTATTTAAACAACCTGTAAACCTCTGTTTTGAGGGGGAGCTTAGAGAGAGGTCTATGGACGAAATTTCTTCTATTTTCCCATCTTGTTCTTCAATTCCCTTGGATTATTTGTAAGTTCCTACTTTTTAATTAATGACAATTAATTATATTCTTATCCATTCTATTGATTCTTCAATTATGAGTTGTGAGTAAGTTTTAATTAGGGATTTGGGATTGATGAAGGGGTGAATCATGATGTACGGCTAGATTCTTGATGGATTAATTGCATGAATCTTGATTTAATTTGTGTTTGAATGATTTAATTGATCTCTTGTAACCTAGAATTTCCACTAGGATTATAATTGCATGTAGAATAAATTAAGAGAGATCTGATTTATTCTACGACATCTTCACACACACTTAATCGTTCACTAAGAGATTAGTAACGATTAAGGGGATGTACGCTCGTTCGTATTGGCAATAATTTTAGATACCTGTCGCATGAGAGATCAGCCTGGTTCCTTAAATCATTGTACTCTACGCCGTGAGAGCGGTAAGAACTTAGTAATGGTTAGCTAGGCTCAATTAAATTAATTTAATGTAATTAGACCTGATCTGCTAGAAATCTGGTTACCCCGGAATCAATCTCTGTTCACTTCGTCGTTAATTAGAGAGAAACCAAATCTTTATTTATTCGTTATTTAGCAATTTTATTTTCCAAATCAACCAAATCTCGCACGACGCATTTATTTTGTTTTATTTTTAATCGCTGAATTTATTTAATTCTTAATTCCCTTTTGTCCGTCCATGTGAAGACGATACTCTTACTTACACCACTATATTACAATCTATTTTAAGTGCGAGAAAACTAACATCAGTTTTTGGCGCCGTTGTCGGGGACAGTTTCAGTTTTAAGGGTAATAAATTTCAGCGAGACTTTTTTTAGTTAGTTTTTTTAGTTTTTCGTAGGATTTTTTTGTGCTGACCTTTCAGGTATTTTCAAAAAGACATGAGATGAACCCATTCATCTCAGATCCTGGAGGAACAACATTCCCTCAAACCTCCACGGAATATTCACCATATACGCCATACTCTCATCAATATTACTCTTCCACACCACAAAATTGGCAGCCCTCTTATTCTTACCCTCCTCCAAATACGCAACGGTTCCAATCTCAATCCCCTGATCATTATGCTTATTCACAATATCCTAGGGCACAACCAGGCTCCATTCTTGAATATCTTGTTCAAACTAAAAGTCCTGAGGAATTGGTTGATTGCTTTTCTAAAAATAGCATTTGTTCCTTCTGTGGAGGAGGTCACCATTTATGTCTTTGCCCCATTCCTCCAAACGACCATCCTTACTGGGCAACTGCATACCTCACTTCACCTTCCTCACAACTCACAAACACAAACCTTTCAGCCACTCCTACTTCCTTGCTGAGTAATGAGCCACATAATCAATTTGAGGAGGCGGGATATACGATGCCTAAAATGCAGCAAACTCACCTCAGCCTGGAAGAAACATTCCAAAAGTTTATGCAAACGATTGCGACAAATGAACAATTAATGCAGTCAAGATTTCAGACCATACAGAATCACTTGGATCAGTTGTTTAACACCCTATCTGAGGAGTCCGAGAGATCCCATCATAGTGACACAGAAGCCCAACCTGAGGAGACCAATAAGAATAATCATGGCATTGAGTCAGACTGCGAATGCGGGAATATGATAGATTATACACTTCCTGATGCTTTTGAAGACCCACCTATGTTTGAAGATGAACAAAAAGATAATAATGTCGAATTGTTTTTCCAAGAATACAGGAAAAAGTTTCAAACGGTACAAGCTGTAACTTATAAAGTCACAAATAACTGTGATCTTCATACAGAAACTCTTGAGCCGTTTGATTTACCATTAGTCTCAACACCTGATGAGGGCATGGATCAGATCAGTCATGATGATGGTGCTACTGAGGTGGGTTTGAGTATTGAAGATGAGTTGGGAGAAGATGATCACAAGCTCCAACAGAGTGGGGGCGAGATAGATGATGTCCATAATGAAGAAGTCATGCTCCACAAGCATGATTACCCCTCTTGTACACATGCACCGATTCAATCTTACGTGTTTTCAGATTTGGATTTCTTTGATTCACTCCTTGATGATGATATTCCTTTTTGTGTGGAGAGTGACAACATCATCCGAGACACACATTAATAAGAAGAGTGACAAAACGAATTGGGATGCCTTTGTTGGAAAAATATGTTAAAAATTGCATTAAATGGTCTTTTTGGGGCAATTATTTGAGTGGGGTCCACTTCCGATTTGGGTCAGATCAAAGTGGTTTCGGATTTTCCTTGTTAAGGGCTACAATTCGATATGTGGTACACTCAAAACGAATAACGGGTGAATGAGAAATTGATTCTCGAAGTTCACTCGTTGAAATGGAAAAACTGGGAAAATGATGGGTTTCTAGTGTGTTTTATACCACACCGGAAAACTCAAGGGATTTTCACCCCCTTAAAAAGGGAAGTCTCTTTTAAGGAGTTAAGATTCCTAAAGGTAAAGGCTCTCTCTTACGCGCAGGGGGGGTGCCGATCAAATCCCGAAACAGAGAAGAAAATCGCGACTTGTGTGCACGGGCGACCCGCGGACACGATTGTCGTCCAAAAAGCTATCATTCAAAGATACGGTAGCATCAGAGTTGCTCCAACTCTGATGGGGGTATTCTGGTCGCGCACCAGAACTGCTCCAAGCCATTACAACCATTAAATGTCCAACGTTCTTGTCTTTTAATGCAACGTTAAATGGACAGTTTATGGACGATTCAATGCCCAACGGACTGGTCATTGATGTCCAACGTTCAGGTCCATTAACACCCCATTTAACACACAACAAATCCTCCTATAAATAGCTGGCAGGTGGTTTGCAACAACACAACTTACAATACATTCTTCACGTATTTTTGAGCTCTAAAACACTTCCAGCTACTCAGAAAATTCCTAAGTGTTCATACTTTGTTCCAGTTCGTCGGAACTCTCGTTTGTGTGCTCAAACGTTAGTTCGCTAACCACTGTATCCTGGGAAACGGTCGTTGCAACACTCCTAGCACCGTGGGAGGCGACGAATACGTTTTAAGGACATCGTGCATAGCACGAGCTCTGGCTAAACTCTGTTTCATCTATTTTCTGTTTTCTTTTAGCTATTTTATTTATTAATTATATTATTTAATTAATATTTCTTCGTTTTTTCCGAGACACACCCAACAATCTTAAAACGTATTCGTGATTGTGTTACTGTGGTAAACAATCTTAAAACGAATTTTTTTTCAAACTTGTATCACACGGATACAATCTTAAATCGTAGTTTGTCACTTTGGTGTACGAACTTATTTTTTTGTGTTTTCGGAAAACGTAAGAAAACGTTAAAATGGCTTCACAAGAAATTGGAAATGTTGGGGGGCAGAACGTGCCAAACGACAATCACTCTGAAAGTGGAGCACCGGTGAACAATGGTTCACAACGCGGTGCATCTACTTTTGGCAACCAAGGGGCAATCCCTATGGTTACCGTGCCGAGCAACTCTGTGGAGAAACCCGAAAAATTTAACGGGTTAAACTTCAAGAGGTGGCAGCAAAAGATGCTATTTTACCTCA